TTTTCCTTGTGCCGGCTTAATGGAGACGTGCCTCTCGACGTTATTTTCTTTGATATCTAATCTCGTCTTCGTTACGAAGAATAATAGGTAAGGTTCGGTTCTGCATCGAGAAGAATATTGCTTCGTAATTGCATTCTTTATAGCTCGTAGTTTTTCACGTATACCTGTGTTCGTAAATGTTAGGTTAGAAAATGAGTTTCTTCATATTTCGATGGTGTATATATTTCACGAATTGTATGTCATTGCATATTACAAGAGTAAATAAAATAAAATTGTTTGTGTGGTTTGATGTTGTCACACAAAATGATACGTTACGAAACGAAATTTCTTAGAATAGAATATTATTTATTACCAGCGCAAACAACAGGTAAGTAAATCCGTCAGTGAGAAAAAAATCTGTCGATAAAACAGAACTACCGGTAAGCTCGAAACGTTCTAAACCAGTTCACGAACAATAAGAATAGCCGACAATCCTCCCTAATAAAAGGTTACACGTCGGGATCGTCTGAGACAAAGCATTATCCATCAAAGCGTGACACTGATTTGCGACACCACCGACAGGATCGACGAAATGCGATATAATTCTCTGTCGTCGCGCGTTTCAAAGTAACCCGACATCATTGTGGTCCCTTCGTCCTCGTATCTCCGATCGAGATTTATCAGTAGCTAGATATTATGTTGACAAATTGCCCAAGACACTCTGTCGGTAAGGTCAGGAAAAGTGTTCTCACTAGCGCACAGCTTTCAGGATCGATGAGAAGCGCATAATCGAATCACGGTGGTTCCTTTCTAAGCGATTTCACTCGTGCCCGGTCATTAAATCAATCGGAAATTATTACACCAGTTTTACAATGCATAACTGTCGTTCATTCGGGCCCGCGTTGTCGCCCGATCAGTGAACCGCTTTTGATATTGTGGTTGCCGTCGCTCGGCCGCTCGTTATGCCATTATTCCGAATAATTTTTGCCTACCACCGCACGATATTATGGGTAATTGTTCGGTCGCCCGTTCACTTGCTTGCAGACTTGGTTGTCCCACGGTTCACTACACTTTTTTATTGCTTTACAGCGTATTTTCGTATTTGCATTCAAACTTCTAACGCAGTCGAGATTTTTATGGGTTTGTTTGACAAAGGATACTGTTCGACTTCGTGACTAGGTTTATATAAGATATTTTAGACACGACGTTTTGTTGAAAATATATTTTTGCAGAGGCTATGATGTAAAGTAGTAGAATGTTAAGAAATATGAAAAATAACAAATCAATAATTTGAAGGAGATTCATATTAAATTCACCTTCAATATTCAGTAACTACTTACATACATACTTACGTCAGTATTGTTTGCTGGTCTGTGCATGCAACTAGCCTCTTCACCGACGCGAATATGTGGACGACTCGGTTGGTTCGAGAACCCCCACTTTTTTACGTCTGCTAGAAGAGTCAGAAGAAGTATCGCAGCCACCAGTCCTAAATAAAGTGGCATCGAATATTTTAACTTCGCGAGCGATAGAAATGTAAATACAAAGAAACCAGTGAATAAATTTTCTTAATAAAAGTATTTTCTCTTATTAGATCGTGTATATGCAAGATTTTCGTGAACTTTTTACAAAGTTTCCATGACAAGTTTCGTTATTATACAGTGTAATGAGGTGCTATAAGAATGAAAAATAGATAAAAATACCATGGTAGGAGAAAAAGGGGCGGAGAGGGAAAGGGAGCGGGCTGAAAATGAATGTAATGTAATTTTCAACGGTGGCAACGGTGTGTTAAGTGAATAAAAGTTGGAAAGGAAGGCTGAGAAGTATCCAATCCGCTGTGAATACTGTTGCCCAGCCTGCATATTCTATTCACCGACTGACTTCACGGCATAATGAGTTCCATGAGGTAGAATAAAAAACAAATTACAGAGTGTCTCGCTTGTCTAACCAGAACATGAAAATTAATGAGATATCGTGATTGTGGGTAGCGGTAAACATTATTCGGGATTTTTTTTTCTCCACCAGAACTTCATGCTGTTAATACATACATACATCTATAAAAATGCTGGCGATACCATGTGCATTCATTAGTTCCAAATTCTACTCATGTTGCAAAGAACTGTTTATAAAATAATAATAAAATAATTGGCGTTATTAGAAAAACAAATTTACGGAGAATTTATCAAGTGCATAAAAAATTGCTTTCTGTATTTTTAAACTAAATTTTCAAATTACATAAAAAATTTGTTTCATAACCTATATCGAAAAAAATTGTTTTCTTCCTGATTGGGAAATATACATAAACCTATCTCACCTCCTTATGTTTACTTTACAAACTATTATGAGTCATAATAGACCCGAGCGCCATGATAAGATTGAGATATCTATGAAAATGTTACGAAGTGTCGATCTGTCAGCCTTTTCCAAACAATGAACCGTCCGTCGCACCGTGTCGCAAACCACAACTAAAAGAATTCAAGCCGCAAAACACGAGTATTAACCGTAACGTAGCCAGACAATTACTTAAGACGACGTTGGAGAATATGAATAATATCCGAGCGTTATTCCGTCGGGCCGGTTTACAATCATGTCGCGATAGCTGTCTTAATGAAGCACCGAGCAACGTTGATGCAATTATTTATTTGAAATATTGCCGAGCGCGGCGCTGGGTGTCCGTAATCAATCACATCCTCCCTCGGGTTGAATTTTGCTGTCTCTCTCTCTCTCCCTCTCTCTCCCTCTCCCTCTCCCTCTCTCTCTCTCCCTCCCTCCCCCTTCCCCTCGCGGCGTTCACGAGTGTCTCTGCCCACTTGTCTGTCTGTGCCACAATAAACGTTATCTCGAAACCGCCGCCGGTAAACAGTCAATAAATATATAACGTCGTTTTACGCAGCCACTGTCCCTTCGCGGTGCACACATTCTCTTGAGGAGATTTATCGCGCGTTACGAATAAATTTCAAGGAAAACGAACGAACTGGTGCGGCAACGGATCACTCGACCGACGACCCGCGCGCTTTCTTACTTTCGATTTCGCGGGAAAAATCTTCCACGATGATAATAAATAACCTCGGTGCGCGTGTATTTTATTTTAAACGATAATTAACAGGATTATAAATCCAGGTGGAATTGGCATTGTGCGAGTAGTATTTTCAGTCTTTCGAATTACCAGCTAATGTATGATACGTGTTATGTTAGGTTAGGTTAGTTGTTGTTAGACACCTTTCGCTTCTCTGAACATCGATGTGCGTTGTTGTGCATTTTATTATCGTCGTTAAGAGGTTGAGTGTAAAAATAAGAATGAAATGTGAGTGAGGTAATGGAAAGAGAAGTATAATTATTACATACGAACAAGAGTAATTGAGAAGCAATACATTGCGTTTTGTATGACACTTTTAAGACCTTCGCCTTTGTAAACTTCCATACGATTTATTCTAATGCTAAGTATATGGGAAAATGCGATAAATTTCAAATTATGAAAAACAATTAGATAAACAATTTTTCACTTTTAATTCAACAATGAATAGCTTGAGGTAATTTAAAAATCATAGAAAAAATAAAATCTCGAGAGATCAACGAAAATTTTTATCGATTATTATATTTACATGAGAATAACTGTTTAATAAAGTCGAATTTACAAATAGTCGTTTCGACTTCAGGCATATACACACTGGAGGAGCATGTCTACGGACATGAGATAGTGATACCACGAAAAGTCACCCACCATGGAGAGCTTATCTCGCACAACGTGACCCACCATCACCATGAACATGGGCCAGTGGTTCACTATCGATTATCGGTGGCAGGCAACGAGTACCACATCCAGTTGACTGCCGTGGACAACTTCATTGGGCCCGGGATCGTCGTTGAAAGACGTAAACGGGACGTGCATGTGCGTAGCCGGCCAAAAAATCACTCGAGCAAATGCCATTATCGGGGTTTCATTCAAGGACATCCGAATTCCCAGGTCGTCTTGTCCGCCTGCGATGGTCTGGTGAGTTTTGTCCTTTTATCTTCTTGTTTTTGCTTGCTGATTCGCTTCTTTGCTTGTACCCTTTTTTTAAATTTTTTTAGCGAGGAACGTATTTATTTGGTGGATATTTTGATTGAACAGTGTAATTTGTATCATGATGTAAAGAAAATGAAGTATATACACAGTTTTTAAGATTAGGAATTATCGGTGAACGGAGTAGAGAATTTTCTCTAGTAGAGTAGCACGACGAAAAATGATACGCGCTGCGTCTGATATATCGTATGGATACTCTACTTGAATTTTCTTGCGAATGGAGAGATCGTTTCATCGTTGGTCGCTTTTAATAGAAGCGAGTAGTAATAATTATTTTACAGTAATTTTGCATTGTATATGCATTATTTTACATTTTTTATATTTTTTTCAAGAAATTTCAATCAATTTTTATATTTAAAAATGACGATGCTTAAAGTATTTTTTATGTTAGTTTATGCACTGGTATGATTATTGAATATTGATAACAATAGTGACGAGAAATATTTTGAAATTTCTTTTTTTTTTAATAATTCTCATTTTGTGTCGATGACTTTCTCTTTGAACTTTTTCCGTCCAACTAACAACTTCTACATATTTTTTTATATAAAGAAAAAGATTCAAAGAGACATTGAAGATATCTAAATTTTCCATAAAAATTTCTCAATTTTCTAACCTAGAAAATAACTCGTTCATCTTAATTACATCATGCCTTGAATATGCAGATAGTAACAGTAATGCATAAAATTCCTCAAGTTCCTCCGCAAATCGCACGAGATATTCTCTTGAACAGGGAAACTTCAGTAGCGACATTTTACCAATTTCTCTACCGCAGCGGCGTTTCCGGTACAGTCCGCGTCTGGCGCTTATAAAACAGCCCCAATTGGTGGCAGTTGTATCTACGCTTAAAACGGCCCCCTACTATCCTACGGATTCGCCTAGGCGAAATTACATTTCTAAGTCGGCCGCGGCCACTGGAAACGGTTTCGCCGCGCCGCAAAACCGAACGGTGAAATTTACGAATATTAACGTATATCGCCGACATCCGGCGGCTGCGGTGCCGCGCCGGAAGTTCGCCATAAGGTGACTGGAGGTATATAATTACGACAAAGGCGTAATAGAAAATTCTTTTCTTAACACATGAATACATTTTTTAGATGTTTATACTTCTTTGAGGTTAGGTTTTACATGTTTGCACTAAGTATATTTCAAAAATAACTCCTGCAGATATTCAAGATATTAGTGATTTTTATCAGTCCACCCTATATAAAGATTATTCTATTCCTCCATAAAGAATTCAAGAAAAATTAACATTCCACTATCCTCTATCCGCATTAGCTCATTAGCGTATAGAACCATGGCCGGCTAATAAGCACCGCTAATAGTATCTCCCTTCGCTGGAGCCTTCACTCGATAGAATATGCCGCCAGGGGTGAAGTAAGAGAAAACAAAGAGGAGCTCGAATTCGCCTGGGAGGTTGGCAACACTTAGAGACGGTCGGCCGCTCGTAAGGATAGGCGTGTGCATTCGCAGGTGGACGCACGGCCTAGGCGCGCCGTCATAAATCTACCGAGCCATGGCAAATTAAATCATTATCTGGAAGCTGCGAGCAAATTGCGCCGATGCATGCTCCGTGGCGTCGCCCCTCCCTCCTCCGCATCCGTTCTCCCCTTTTTCTTTCTCCTCCCACTGCCTCCTCCTTTTCTTTCGTTCTTTAGCTTCCTCCATTATTCGCTTTTCTTCGTTCTTTCATTGCTCATGCTATTAAGGTTTATCTACAATGTTCTTTATTTCAGTAGGCAAGTATGATATGTAGGAATTTCAAGGAGAAAAAGTCATACATTTAACTGATTTAGTAGCACTTATAAATAAAATAATTTTTATTAAAAAATTTTCTGACATCTCTGGATGTAGGAGAAGAATTGAATAGATAAATACTAATAAGTCACAGTGCAGATTGTTACATAATATTTTTGTTGATTTGTAAGTTGTGAAAGTGTTAGTTATTCCCATTTAAATTGGTCACCCTATATAGAAGTTTGTGTATTTGCTAAGTGGCAAAATTAGGTTAGGTTAGACAGTGGAGATATTAGCTATATAGGGCTTTCTATGTGTATTTGCTAAATGATAAAATTGCAAAGTGTGATTATTCGAGAGATTTGAATTTGGTTTTAATTAAACTATGTTGAAACTGTTCTACTATAGTAAGGTGCTGACTAAGCCTTTGTAAACTGGCATTTAATTTGTAGAATCCGCGGAGCACGTAACCCAAAGAAGGTTCTGATGTTTCACTTGCATAGCAGCTAGTCTAATAACGTGCCGATATTGTGTCCTTAACGACACCCGGGACGAGGACGCAAGTTGCACAGAGAAACCTCAAACAGTTCCAATTGTGAGTCTATGTAGGTTGGAATATTCTCAAAAATATTAAATTTTCCATAAAGGTCTTTTGCGAAAATAATATGAAATTAATCACTTTACATTAAATACTGCGAAGTTACCTGAACTTAACAACTTTTAATACGTGACCTTTCCGTGACACCTACCTTCGACAGTACCTGTCAAAGTACACTACCCATTCCCTAACCTAACCTAACTTCAACATTGAACATTTCAATCTGGATGAATTCACATCGAAAAATATCCGACTCGTTGCATTCGTCACTGATGAATCATAAGCAGGGCATGCCTATGTCGAAGTCACATTCACTCGATTCACGGGAGTATGTACCCGCGTAATATCGTCAAAGTCCAGCTCAAAATGATTTAATTCGAAAGTCATAATTCGATGTACTTACGTTACAAAGCCGCCATGTGCACATACGCGCGGGCCCACCGTCGTGCCAATCAATTAACTGTCGCTCGATGCGGGCTCTTCCTTATCGACCGGACGAAATCTACATCGCGAGTGTAGTTATAGCTTCCGCATAGCTGCACCTGCAAGGCGATTTCTCGCAGAAATTTCGTGTCTTCGTAATACGATGGCCTGGGTCAATCGCTGCGGGCTATATGCAGTTACAGCGGCTTCCTAGAGAAAATTGAGCAATTACATAGCCGTTGCGTGAGAACTTGCCCCTCACAAAGGGAAGTTTACTCCTTGCATCGCTCACCGTTCCTTTCGAGGGACACTCGGACCACCTATGCAATCTAGTTCGCTTCTCGCGATATAATCTCGTCGCATTGCTCGTTTTGTTGTTGTATTTGATTTGATTTCTCTGTGTTTGATCTGGTTTAGGATTGTATAAAACGTGTGCTTTATATTTTATAACCTTTTTTTACTGTTTATGATGTGAATAGTGGAATTTCGAACATTTGAACTGTTATGATACACATTTTAGCGAATAATTATAGGTTAGGTTAGATCAGGTTTCTTGAACCTTCAACAAACATAGAAATTACCGTCAGAATTATTACCAAATCCCACTAATCAGTGTGTCGTATATAAAAACAAGCTTTTAAAACAGGTTGAAGTTAATTTAAACGACAAGAGATTTTTTCCATGCAAATGCTCGATTCACCAACTACATGTAACACCGTCATCGCGTAATGTGACACGGTTTCGCCGTATAATCACCGGAAACCAGATTCAGGATACATCGTAAATTACTAATCCGTCGATTGGCAGCAGGTGCGGGAGGCAAAAAATTAGCATAAATCCTTGTGGAACAGTAACGTGTTGCATTTTGTTGCTAATTTCTCCTTGAAGCTCGCTTAGTGCCCACGTGCGACCGTTTTAATACGCGTTCACCGTGTTCCACGCGCGCCATTACGTATTTCTCTCGTGCGTGCGATATCCCGTTTTATTACACCATAAAGCTGACGGAACAGTGGCGCTCGAGTCGCGCAAAGCTTTCACCGTGATACGTCTCGTAAAACTTCAGATTGAAACAAGTGCCGCGCATGTTCTCACGGGCTGACGATTAGATAAACTTTCAATTTCGATTTAGTGTTCAATCATACGGTGTATCCCTAAAGCCTGAAATTGAAATCTTTTTCTTTCGGAGTAAAATTTACAGAGATATGACAGATGGCGTGAGTACCCTTCTGACGATATAATCGAGGTGAAAATTTTATTCATTTGCTGTGAATTAATGATAATAATTATTATACAGGATGTTATCAATTAATTTTGGACAAAAAAGTCGTATACTATTTTTTCGAAATTCAATACTTAATTTTGACCAATTTTTGTATCTTTGTCACGTCGATAAATTTTTATCTCCAGGAGTACTAATCGTACGGATATGAATTTTATTTTATTTTACTCAGGAGATCAATTATAATATTTCCTAAAAAAAATTACATTTAATAAAGTGCACAAAAATTTATTAGGTTAGAATTATGATTACTTTCTAAATTACCTTCTCCGTAGGTATCAAATATTTATCGCGTCTTCAGAAACGGACAAATTACTGGTCTCTACGCAATTGTTTCAGATGAATTCACGTTGAAATATTAGATTGTTTTCAGAGCTCCGTCTAGCCGGCGAGCATAATGCGGAAACTTAATTTTTAAAAAAATCTTGTGTTCTGAATTAAAATGTAGCTTCACAAATTTCACCCATAATTTAAAGCACACCATATCTGACAAACCTCTATAATAATGATTATCGTTAAAAAAAATTTTAAATACTCTAAAGATAAATAAGCATATATACATAGTCATAGGTTAAACAAAATGTATAGTTCCCCAAACAAATAAATATTAACCACTATCTCATAATTTTCCAATATTCGTTATCGTCGTTTCAAATCAAATATATCACAATTCCAATTTATCCATTCCACACACAGTGTATACAAGCAAATGTAAACAATTTAATGGAGATAAAAGCCGCTATTTCACATTTGGTATCCCTTTAGAGGCTTTGGGCTGCGGCGTTGTTCGAAGAAGCTTGCAGCAGCGCTTCGATGACCCCAATATCATCGAGCTATCCAATAAACGTAATGTCTGGCTTCGAAATGTCCCGTAAGCCACTCAAGGTAACAAAG